AATTTCATTTTTATGTGCTTTCACTTTTTTTGTTGTTTTTAAAAGCAGGATTTATTGAGAGGACAGAAAAGCTCTTAGAGTGGGATGGGACCTGAGGGATAGCCCTCATTTTTATGTTTTAAAAATTATTCTTACTAACATGGGCTTACAAGACATTGTTTATCAAAATTTTAGCTTGAGGATTCTGAAGATAATGACTTGGGAGTTACCAATTTCTGTGGCTTTTCTGCTTATTCATAAATTAATTGAGTAATTTTCAGAATTATGAACACTTCTAGACCACAATATTGCAGTGTACTTTTCTTAGCTCTTATCATATGACCTGACTTGTCTTTAATGCAGTTTTTGATTAGTTTAATACTCTGGTATTAAGTTTGACAGGTACCCTATTAAAGGACCCAAGTGAAAATGTCTGATGAACTTTGGAAAGCCTCGTATTTGGTTATTTTAAAATATTACTTTGTATTTTTCCCCACCTTTTTCTGTATCTAGAATTTTCATCATTCCATACCAGTCCCCAGACACAGATACTCTATTTTTCTTGAGTTCATTATCATCTTTGTTCTGAAGTATACTTATTATGTTAAATTGGAGTATGCTTGACAATTATTTTCTCCCTGCTTTAGAAGTATTTGTCTGAGTTATAGCAAATAACAGCTATGTAGCAATATAGCAACCCATTAATTATAGTTGCACACTAAATCTTCTAATTTCTGTTTTAGCCCATCTTGCTGGGTTGTGGGAATGTTGTATCTTAGTCTACTGAGGTTCTGTTAACCTAATCCCAGATTGGGTTAAGGTTCTAGAGGCTGATGCTGTGCTAGGATATTGGAATAGAGGTGGAGACTAATCCCCAAGAAAATTGCTCAAGTGAGTGTTGAAACATCTTTTATTCTGATTAAGATGGCCTTTCATATGTAGCAACTTGCAGCCACATGATCATCTGCCTTTTCTAGGCCCCACTTAGGAAAGAAGTATCTGTAGGCTTGGCCCTTGTAGCCATCTGCAAAGATATTGTACACAGCTGTATTCCCTGTGTGGTTTTGTGTGAGATCTTCTAGATGCTTTGCTAGGAAGCCCAACAGCACTACTTCCTCCCCATATACACCCACAACATGCTTTATTCAAACTCGAGAGATATTTCTAAATCCCTCTTTCTCTCTGTTACACATTTTTTTTTTTTTTGAGTTGGAGTCTCACTCTGTTGCTCAGGCTGGAGTGCAGTGGTATTCTCATGGCCACCACAGTCTCAACCTGCTAGGCTCAGGCGATCCTTCCACCTCAGCCTTCCAAGTAGCTAGAGCCACAGACACGTGCCACCACTCCCAGCTAATTTTTAAAAAATATTTTATTGTAGAGATGAGGTCTTGCTAAGTTACCCAGGCTAGTCTTGAATCTGTGGGATCAGGCAATACTCTTGCCTCCACCTCCCAGAGTGCTGGGATTACAGGTGTGAGCCACTGCGTCCGGCTATTCTACATATTTTATTCGTACCCCAGTCAACTCATCTTTACTATCCAATTTGTTTATCTGCACACCTACCCCTAATTGTAAGCTAGTTCTCGTCGTTATTTTGCAACATGTGAATAGAAAAAAAGGCTATTTCTCTTTTTTTGCTTTGCCACATCCCTCTTCTGGGGCAGTGAATATGGAGGCCGTCATCTCTTTAAAAGTGGGGGAAGGGAAAGGAAACCCATCAGAAACAGTTTAGGTTAATCTTTCAAAAATACCACACTTTTTTTAATGCTTAATTGCTCTGAGTTTGTACTTTAGCAGTTTTTTCAGTCTGTTGCTGTACTGCACAACTGTCTGGTGCACATATTATGTGCTTGTTTAAATAAAAGCTGGATGGATCATTTTGTGTAGCCAAGAAATTTGGAAATTCATGTCATCCTCTAGTGTTCTCACTTTCCCTGTATATCCGAGGCATGGAAGACACACACTTCAGAAACCTGTCTTAAAGAGGCAGTGTAAAAGTGCTTCCACAAAAATTCTGATACAACATCCGTATTGCCTGACTAGAAATTGTTTTGTAAGTTTAATATTTTGAATAAGGGAAACAGTCATATGAGTCAAATTAAAAAAGCACAAGTAAGCGCAACTGAAAAGTCTTCCCCTTCATAACTGCTTATGTTCTGTCCCTACAAAGAACCAATATTAAATTCTTAGAATATCCTTCCAGAAATTTTTAAATATATAAGTAAAATATATATATACACGTCACCATATATACAACATATGCATATCTGTAGGTGTATAATACATAATTCCCCCCCTTTTTATATGTGTAGTGCTGTTCTGAGCAGTGTATTTTCAAGACCTTTCCAAATCTGTTACATTAAGAGCTTGATCATTTTTGCAGCTGTGTAGTATTTCATTGTATGAATGTACGTAGCCAATCCTATACCTTCATTGATCATTTAGGTTGTTTCCAATCTCTATTATTAGAATGCAACAAAATAATCTTGTACATACATCATTTTATGTAGATTTGTATATCTTTAGGACAATATGTAGCAGTAAAATTACTGGATTAAATGATGTATACATGCATCATTTTCACAGATACTGCCAAATTTCTCTCCATAGAAGTTATAACAACTTACTTCCCTCAGCAGCCATGCATGAAGAGTTTCTGTTCATAGCCTCAGGATCAGAGAATGCTATCAAACACTTGTATTTTTATCAGTTGATGATGTAAAATGATACCTAATTTCTCTGATTATTGATACTGAATTGAGCACTTTTCCATATGTTAAGCATCCATTCATAGTTTCTTTTCTTCCTATTTTTATATTGAAGTTTTAGATTGCTAGTCTTTTTCTTGCCAGTTTCTAGGAATTTTGTTACAGAAAATTTTTCATGCTGTAAGTTGCAGATATAATATTTTTAAAATTTGTCATTTGATTTTTGTCATGCATATTTAGTTGTGTGTGTGTATACCTATATACAGCCATCCTTCAGTATCCATGAAGGATTGGTGCCAGGAACCCCATGGATACTAAAATCTGTGGATGCTCAAGTTTCTTATATGAAATAGGGTAGTATTTGCATATAACCCATGCACATTCTCACATATACCCTCATCTCTGTTATACCTAATACAGTGTAAATAGTTGTATTTTTTAATGGTAGTATTTTTAAATGTTGTATTGTTACTTTTATTGTGTTTTACTTCCCCAAATATTTTCTATTTGAGGTTGGTTGAATCACAGATGCAGAATCCATGAATATGAAGGACTGACTATATACAGTTGAAATTACGGATCTTTTATGGTTTATGAATTTTGTATCATGGTTAGAAAGATCTTTCTGTCTCCAAGCTGTAAATAACTTTGCCAATAATTCCTTCTATGATTTAATTTTTATATTTAGATCGTCAGGTACATTTTGGGTTAGCCTGGCATAGGGTATGTAGGTGGTCACCCTGTTGAATCAGTAACATTTTCTATTACTCTATTTGGGCCTCCTTCTACAACTTTCATTCTTTGGTCTATTCAAATATCAGTACAAACTGTTTTAAGCATTCAGGTCCTACAATATATTTCAGTATCTGGTAGGACTAGTTTCTCTAATATTGCTTATTACGTCATGAATGTTGAGATTAGCTTTTATTCTTCCAAGAATAAAATATTCACATTTTCAGTTAGTTCTGATATTAGCTTCCTAAAGAGGTAACAGCTAGCTGGGCACGGTAGCTGACCACTGTAATCCCAGCACTTAGGGAGTCTAAGGCAGGGGGGTTGCTTGAGCCTAGGAGTCTGAGCCTAGGCAACATAGCAAGACCTCATCTCTACAAAAAAAGATTCAAAATGTTAGCTGAGCATGGTACCATGCACCTGTAGTCCCAGTTACACAGGAGTATCACTTGAGCCCAGGTGTTTGCATGATTGTGCCACTCACTGTACTCCAAGTTGGGTGAGTGAGACTCAGACTAAAAAAAAAAGTAACATCTTTATTCAAAATAGTTATCACAACATATAGTTATCTCATTAATTTGTTTACATGTTTATTATCTTTCTGTCTTGCTAAAATTACTTCATGAAGACAGCATTTTTTTTTGTTTTATTCACCCCTATCCACATCACCCAATGTAGTAACCAACACATAGTAAGTAGCCCCTCAGTATATATATGGATGAATATATATGGATGAATAATTGAATTTATTTATAAAAGAATTTTGAAAACATCAAAATCAAAAGAATTTTGAAAACATCTTATTAAAAGGAATTGGCCACTTAAATATCAGTATATCCTGTCTTACTTTAACTATGACCACGGAGTTAGACTGTAAACAAGAGCAAGTCATTATTTTAATATTCTTACTAGGTTTTGAATGTTATTTAAAATCTTCAAATTAACTTCTTCCTTAGTCTTTTCACTTTGTTTATCCCCCCCCACCCCAGCCCTTCCCCCCTTCCTGGAGTCCATTTTAATACCAGGTCTTTTACTTGATTTATGTGAGAAAATACAGGTCCTAACTCAGTAACTAGGATTCCAACAGATTTGTAAATCAGGAGTCAACTTTTGTTCATATACTGAACAAGGTTAAAGAATCAGATTTATAATGTTTATGGGGAAACTGTAAAGAGGAGATGGTATGGGATGAAAGGAATCACATTACTAACAAAAGAGAAAGGTATGATTCATGAAATTAAATGAAAAATGTCAAGACATCTTAAGAGTGAAATGTCATTTTTTTACAGTTGAATTTTATAAAACTGAAGATGTTATCTGTTTTAAGTTGAATTTGCCCTTTTCCCACATATTGAATTATAATTTAATTAAAATAGTCAATGATATGACTACTAATTGTGCTTTGGTAATTTATACTTCTACACTGGTTAGCTTACACTAAGCTCAAATATCTTATAATATCGGGTCAATATACTTCAGAAGATCAGAAATACACATGATCTTAACATGCAAATATTGGTTTGATTTAAATTGTTTTGGTGTTAAATAATTTAAGTTTTCCCCCTCTCTTTTTTCATTAAGGATTCTGGACTCTACTTATAATATCCCTAACTGCCGGATTCTCCTGTTGCAGCTTTTCTTGGACTGTGACTTATTTTGATTCTTTTGAACCAGGAATGTTTCCTCCTACTCCTTTTTCACCTGCCAGATTCAAGTAAGTATTCCTGTTTCTTGTTTAAACCCATTTCAACTCTTGGAAATACCAAAAGACATAGATGCAAGAGGCTGCTTATTTGTGAGATATGTTGAGGTTCCAATCTTTAAAACACAAATAACATAAGGTTTTTCAACTTGGGCTCAGCCTTTAGATATATGGAGAATAATATCTTAAACTCCGTATCTAGATAATGCAATGTTTTTTTAAGAAATGAAATTTAATGATTATCTAAGAACTGGTAAACTTTGATGAGTATTTGTCCTTTTGGGATGGTATTTGATTTAAAACAGTTATGAAGGCATAGTTAATATCAACAATTTGGAAATTTTGCTAGATTGATATATACAGATTAGAGTTATAACAACATAATAATTGAATTAGACTTTTCTTCAGGATTTAAACTTTGTGTAATAGTTAGGAAGGATTTATGGCACCCAATTTATATGTCTAGACTAGATTAGATGTTTTTTATAGTGGAACAGTAGTAACTTTTTTTGGACTATTTTTTGTGGTTCAAAGAATTATAGAAAATTCAGCACACAGTTTTCTAGTCTAGTTTATTCATACCAGGAAAGCTCTGGTTTTAAATATAAATGTCCAGATAAGAGCGTTTAAGATCTTATTTTATAAATTTGGGAGAGAGTGTGGTGAAGACAAGAAAATCTATTGAATTTATGTATGTTACATGGTCGTTACTGTTATTGTTGTATTACTACCAACTTTAGCTTACCTGAGGGACAGGTTGTAGAGATAAAAACCTGTATTGAGGGACTCTATAAGTGTAAAGTCATACTAATGATAGTTATTATTAATCATTGGTACTACTGGATTTCTTTATTAATAAACTCCTATTTTTTTGGTCTTATAAATATACCTTTAAAAATTTTGGCTTCACTCCAAATAAAAAGTGAATGTTTGTGTTTGCATTATGTATATGTATATATTTTAAATATCTTAATCTCTATCTGTTAATGAAAAATAAATCATACTTTCCAATACATTTTGGTCTATTTATGTGAGGTGGATAAATAATTAATAACCTAAATTGACTAAGTGTTACAACTAAAAGTGCAGTATCATCCCAAGGTTTACAGGGGTATTATTCAATTGAAAGTTTATTTTGCTAAGTAGTGCAGTGTTTGATACAAATTTATATGTTTTTGCTGCCTTTTGACATCAATTACTTTAATAAGGGGTGTTAGTCTAATGTAATGAGACTCGTTTGATAAGTCACAAAAATTTAATCAATTTTCTCATTTTACTTATATCTTACTTTTCTGAATCCTGCCCTACATTTCTAACTATTTAATAGCTAGAAATCACTTTGTACTTAGAGTATTAAAACTGCACTTTAGGCCAGGCTTGGAGGCTCAGCCTGTAATCCCAGCACTCTGGGAAGCTGAGGTGAGTAGATTGCCTGAGCCCATGGGTTCAAGACCAGCCCAGGCAACTTGGCGAGACCTTGTCTCTACAATAAATCATGAAAAAATTAGCCGAACTTGGTAGCGCATGTCTGTAGTTCCAGCTACTTGGAAGGCTGGGGCAGAAGGATCACCAGAGCCCAATAGGTCGACGCTGGGTGGCCATGAGCATGCCACTGCACTCCAATGTGGGTGATGGAGTAAGACTCCAAATCAAAAAAAAAAAAAACAACAACAACTCTGCACTTTGTCTTAAAGACATCAGTATCCACCTACTTAATTTATCAGAGCTTAAAATGCTTATTCACTATAACCTTTCACCAAGTCCAGTCCTTCCTGCCTTTTAAAGTGTCATTGAAAGCCTTCCTCTTTGCACTCTCGGTGTTTTTGTTTTATTTAAGGCCTTGGCCAGTGGACGTGACTCCTTGGTCTTCTATCCTCTAAGTTTTAAGTTTTCTAATTCACCCTGTATTCTAGTCAGCTTCTGTTATCTGTGGGTTCTGCATCCTCACCTTCAGCCAACTACAGATCGAAAATATTTAGGTGGAAAAATTTTTAAATAATGCAAATAAAAAACAATAGTATAACAGCTATTTATACATTTACTTTGTATTGGGTATTATAAGTATGTAGGAATGATTTAAAGTATGGGAAGGGCAACCCCTCCAGGTTCTTTCCCACTGTGGGAGTTTTTCTGTTCTCTCAATAAATCTAGTTTTCTCACTTTAAAAAATAATAATAAAGTATGGGGAAGACGTCTTGTAAGTTGTTTATAGGCAAATACTGTGCCATTCTATATAAGGGACTTGAGCATCCACAGATTGTATTTTTGGGGATCCTGAAGCCAATTCCCCAGTGGGTACCAAAGGATAACTGAACTGCTCTTTCTAAAAACAGGTCTAGTCACAGCTCTCTGTAGTTTAAAAGTCTTTTTGTTGACTTCAGAATAAAGTGCAACGCCCAAGTATAGTAGAATGACCCAAATGACCCTACCCTGCTTTTCTGCCTTCAACTATTTTCTCAACTCACCGTATACTGTGTAGTCACATACCAAATTACCCTGGCATCCCCCAAATAGACTGTACAATTTTGAGATGTCATGCCTTTCTCTTACTGTTCTTTCTTCCTAAAGTATCATTTTCCCTGTCAGCTTCTGTCCTCCACCATAATCCATAACCCTCATAAATGTGAGCCGCTTTTTAGGTTAGAGGAAAGCATTTTAGTATTCTTTTTTTTTTTTTTTGAGTCTGAGTCTCACTCTGTCGCTAAGACTGGCATCACAACCGCCACCACAAACTTGACCTGCTGGGTTCAGGTAATCCTTCTGCCTGAGTCTTCCAAGTACCTGGAACTACAGGCGTGCACCACCAAGCTAGGCTAATTTTTTAATATATATACTGTAGAGATGAGGTCTCGCCAAGTTGCCCAAGCTGGTCTCGAACCTATGGGCTCAGGCAATCCTCTCACCTCGGCCTTTTAAAATGCTGGGATTATAGGTGTGAGTCATTTCACTCGTCCTCAGTGTTCTTCAAAAACTCGGCGATGGGCCAGGCTCGGTGTAATCCCAGCACTTTGGGAGGCCAAAGCAAGTGAATTGCCTGAGCTGGCGGATTCATGACCAGCCCAGGCAGCTTGGCGAGGCTTCATCTCTATAATAATCAAAAATTAGCTGGGCGTGGTAGTGCGCACCTATAGTTCTGGCTACTTGGAAGACTGAGGTGAAAGGATCGCTGGAACCCAGCAGGTTGATGCTGTGGTGGCTGTGAGTGTGCCACTGCACTCCAGCCTGGGTGACAGAGTGAGACTCTAACTCCAAAAAACCCCTCAAAACAACAACAACAAAAAAAAACCTCTGCAATTATGAGGGCATATAACTAATTTTTAAAAAAAATTATCTTTGCATTTTTAAAATTAAATTAGAGCCAGTACCAAAGTGCCTGAATTTCCAGTGTGTTTGTTAGTCATTTTTAAAAATGAGATAGTATCATACTAGATACTTAGATTATGTACTTATCAATACAGCCTTAAGTATACCAGAGGTGCCAAGAATATGTCTACACATTTTTAGAGCTGTTATCTATGTATTTTAGTTCACATAATCAGAAGTGTCTGGACGCTGATGGTAACCACTTTGAGTACCTGTTGTAATTGCAGAAGTCAAACGTAACTTGTATTCATCTTTTGTTATTTGTCAATATTGAGTATTACAATTTTAATACAGTTTTCCTTTCTTAAAATATGTATAGATTTTTTGGCACCTTCTGTATATACAAAATACAAATGAATACAAAATATAAATAAAATTGAAAATCTACACATTATTTTGTATATGTACAATTGTAAATCATATGTATACAAAGTTGAGTTTTATAGTGAACTCAACAAAGTTGAGTTTTATAGTGAAAACACTGCCCTCTAGTGTTTGTAGAAAATATTCAATTACTTCAGAAATGTTAGATTAAGTATATTTATATTCTCTATGTCTCCAGTAGAGTGAGTCCTTGTACAGGGAAACAATTTCTCTACATTGTGAGATAGTTGGAATCTTTAGACTTCATTTGAAATCAGGGTGATCTGTTTTATTAATATGCAGCATCATACTTTAATAAGAATATTTTGTAACAGGTTATATATTTATGACCTAAAGTAAGCAGTAATGTTAATGTAAGCATTTTTACTATTTGTATAAAAGTAATTCAGGTTCTTGTTGAAAATTATAGATTATTTCCATTTTTTTAAAGCAGGAAAAATAACTGCCCACATTTTAATGTATACCTTTTTAGTCTTTATACATATTTTAAAAATTGAAATTGGGATCACAGTGAACGTACTGTGTACATACTGTTTTGTAAGAGAGTAAACATGTCTGACTGGTTTGTTAAAATAGTAGTCGTTTGCTATCTTTGCACACTTAAGTACTTGGACTTTCTTTTTTTTTTTTTTAGCAGAATAAGTAATTGAAATGGGGAAAAGGTTTGAGAAGACTATATTTACTGTGGCTATCAATTGTGTTTCCCTAGAAACAAACCACTCAGGAAGAAAAAAAACACGTATGTAGGTGAAATATTTAATGAAATCAGTTTGGATCAGTAATTTATTAGAAGATATTGAGATGAGAAATAAAATCCTTTTCTTGTATTAATTTAACATTTTTTCATATTGACTATATTTATTAGATAAGGAAACTTAGACTTTCACATAAGCACAAGACTTTTAGGAAATACAAGATAAAGAACTTTGCAAAGTATATTGTCAGGCAAGTACTTAACGGACTTTGACAGGCATTTTTTCAAAAAGATGACTCCATGCATTTGCAAACTGCAGAGTTAACAGGTATAATGCAGTGTCACATATGCAAACTTCTCTATTAGCAAGCTGTTAGTTTCTTTGTGTATTTGGTCAGTAGAACCCTCTGTCTTGGTTGTTACTGAGTATCTGTTACAGTGTGTACACTGTAATCCCAATTTCAGTATTTAAAATATGCAGAAAGAATGGGAAGATATACATTAAAATGTTGGCAGTTATTTTTCCTGTTTTTTAAAAAATGGAAATAACCATTAATTTTTTAGAAAAACA